ATTGACTGAGGACATGAGGTGCTAAGGCACACGAGAAAGTTTGGTGTTACTAAGCTGTGAATATGGTGAAAAAGTGGAAGCGGTGCTGATTATACTGTTACCATAAATATTTATAGTTTTGTCTTCTGATGATTTTCTATTTATAAAGCAGCTGATCAGCTGATGTTGAAGCACTGTAACTTTTGATACCTGTTATGCCAGATCTTTACTAACTGTGTGAAATAATGGATGCATCCAAAATTGAACCCAACTCCTACTTTTTCTTCTGAACAAACATTTCTCATCCAAGTGACTTAGCACATCAGTGGGAGTTCTGTTTTCCCAGTTACTCATGTAATCCACCATGTGAACTGATGCGTGGAAAGCACGGAAGTTAAAACAGGTCACCTAAAACAAGTGCTCTTCTCTTTTCTGCTCTCTAGTTACCAGCTAAGACAGGAGTTGTTTCAGCTCCTGAGTGCTAAGCGGCACTGCAAGGAAGATGAAGACAAATGGAGACAAGAGGCAGCTGCCTTCTTCATTCAGGTTGCTTGGAAGAAGCAGCTGAACCATAGCCCTCTGAAATCAGTTCCTTCATGTAAAAATCTGAAATCTGTAAACAAAACCAGCTCAGCCATAAAAACCAGCAAGCAGTCCATCCTAAAGCAGATATATGGTAATTTTCTTTTCACTATAATTTATTTGTATAACTATGCTTTTGTTTTTATAACAGAATGTATTCATCTATGCACTTCTTATCTAATTGTTAAGAATTTCAGCGATTTATAAAAATTAGTCTCAGGTGTTCTGGGCAATTGTATTTCTATTTCAGGTTAAATAAACCAAACAACTCAGTGATTTAAAATGGCTGCAGCTAAAGCTGTTTGAATCCCCACACAGCATTATTTCAGCACAGGTCTTGAGCAATCAAATAATTCCGTTGCCAGAGCTGTTCACATATATCAATGAGGAAAGAGAACAGAGCAGTTAAGCTGGGGATAGCTGGCTGTCTGGATCATGGTTTGGTTTGTTAAAGCATTGTTTTAAACTTGTTTGTTTGTTTGTTTTGTACTGTTTTAAAAATATCTTCATATCAAGAATATGTTCCATGTTGATAACTTTCCTGTATGAAGATGTGGTCTTTATGGCAAGAGCAAGATTGTCTTTTATAATTTTGCACTGCTTTGCACTGTGCCTGAATGTGCACATGCAAAGGAATGCATCTGCAAGAAAAGGTAGAGGAAAAGTATTGCTTCTAGACGTTGAGTTCCTTTACAGAGTGGATCACTGATGGAGTAAGGATATGCTAACCATATGTACTTTAACAGGTGGTAAGTAATTTCTAGCATGGCTCTGTAGCTTTGAGAACCAAAAAGGATAAAATAAATAAAGCTAATAAATTTATTTTCCTTTTTTTTTAAGGCAACTTTTTTTTTAGAGCAAGATGTATTTTAACATTTGTTAAATTTCAGTTGTGGTTGTCAATGATTTTCTGTCATATGGAATGTCTCATGAGTTTCCCCATAAAAAATGAGAGTAATTTTTAGGATAAAATAATGCTGTAGCTTACTGAAATAGTTTGTAGCTATGTACAACCACATGTCTATGTGATAAACACAGAGCTGTTCACATTGTTTGTTAAAGGGCGTTCTCAGGAAGGCAAAGTGTGTCAGTCAACAAGATCTCCTTCTAAGCTGAAACTTTCTGACGTGCAGCTGGTCTCAGGTAGGACACATCCATTTTAAGAATACTTTGATGTTTACATACCTGAGATTGGTTTCTCCTTAGATAAGAAATCAATCTGCTTAAGGACTGGGCTGTGTTATCAAAATGCATAACTACTGGCAAACTGTTTGTGATTGCACACTCCTTCTTTCACCACTTTTGGGCTTAACTGAGCACTGCACTTCTATCCTTGAGTGATCTGGATGAAAAACTTCTTTACTAAATGCCTTTTGTCAGACTTTTTGAAGTGTATTATGGACTTACTTGGGGCTGGGAGCTGTGGTAATGTTGGTGCTTCACCACGTGAAGGTTTAGTGCCCTGCTGGGCATTTGGTGTTCCTGGCTGTGCCACACCTCAGTCACACAGGCCACAGCTAGATGGGAACACAGCAACTGCTTCAAGGAGGCAGAAGTTCAGGTAATTTGTAAAGGAAAGTAAAATATATTTTCCAAGTAGTTTAACACCACTCTGAAGTCAGAAGGAAATCTGACAGTGGACCTATCCTTGAGTTTGTTAAAACTGTAGGTGAATTTCTGCTTCACTAAGAAGAGACAGAGGCCTTTTTCTTTCAGTGTCTGGGAACTGTTTTAATTAAGAGGCACGACCAGACAGGTGTTTGATTGCCACTCTTCATGCAGATACAAATCTAAATTTTAAAAGAGCTTTTAGCTCTTTTTGTTTAACTTTTCATGACAACAGATTTCCCTGTCTTCTGAAATAAAAAGGCTTTCTCTTGAGGCTGGAGTGGCCTTTGCTTTCATAACTTGGTGACGAATAGGTTAGTGATAGGAACTCTGCCCAGTTCCTTTAGAACACTACCTACTTTTATTCACCTAATAGGAGCTCAGGGAACTTTAGCCCTTACTTAAAAGACAATAACATGTTTTTCATCTGCCTGCCTTTGTGCATGACAACATTACGTTTGTTGGAAAAGTTCAGAGCTGTCAGTGGCTAATGCCAGATGCTCCGTTTCTGACGTAGGTGCCTGGAGTAGGTCAGAATGGACTGCTCAGTTTCACTCTTCCCTTGCAGCAGGTACATCTGGGAAGGTGAAGGCTGACTGTCAGCTGTGTTTTAATGTTCAGAGAGCTCATGGAAGATGCATGCAGTGACAAATCTGTGATGGAGATTGACACCCAACTCAGTCAAACACTTTGGAAAGGGGGGTACACAGAGGATGTGCAAAGGAAATGTTCAGTAAAGGGTGACAGGTAGAAAAGGGATGGGTTATAAAGGCATGGGGTAAGTGCTTTGGAATATTCTGGCAAATAGGCCCTTTAAGATTGTTACCATTAGAACATTTCAGAACTTGAAATTTGTTCTTTTTCTAGTTTGTTTGGCTTTTTAAAATAAAATAGATTCCTTTTGGCAGTTCAGCAAGTTGCACTTAAAAGAGGTGCTCTGCAGCAGAACCAGACAGCCTGGTTCTTTGCTTCATTGTGGACATCAAAGTGTGTTCAGAGTTGCAAAGGAGCAGGTTTTGCAACTCTTGGCATTAGAAAGATGTCCCTAAGATGTGCTGAGTTCACACCCTCAATGAAACATTTGGATTTGCACTTGGGATGACCCTTTATCCCATTCCAGCTTGGAATAAAGCACTGAAATGTTTGCAGCTAATCTTTACAAACCTGGGGAAGCAAAACATGTGTATTATTTGTAGCACATTACAGGACATAAAAAAACATTGCATGAGCAATTCTGAGTACTCACTTTAGCCCCTGGACTAGTTTTCCTGACTTTCTAGAAAGAGCCTCATGTTGCTAAAGATTGCTCAACACTATCTCTTTCTGCTCTTCAGCAAATTCAGCCAAGTGTATATAGTGTTAGTCTGGAGCTCAAGTATATAGTGTTAGTCTGGAGCTCTACATTCATTTATGGGGGTGAACCTCACTGTGCCCATGAGAGGCTGCTGAAGTCCCACGGGCAGCAGCAGCATCATCAGTGTTCCACACAAGCTGTACCCAGTGCTGCAGAGACCAAACTCCACTGGGAGACAATCAGCAGTGAGATGCCAGGAAAAAGGCATTTTCTGCTCCCAGCAGATTTGCTGCTTATGAAATCTAGAACATAGTGTAGATGAAGCTGCTTTTCACCCACTAGGGTTACTCATCAAAACTATTTTGTTTTTTTACAGTGAGCAACTTACAGTGTGTTAATTTGTTGGAGAATATGGGAAAATCAAGGCAATTTTCATACAACATGAGACCAACCACTGCTGCAAAACCAAAAAATACAAGACTGAAGCATTAAGCAAAACAATGTTTGGAATTTAAAATCCATTCTGGTACAGCTGTTATCTTTCATAATGTATAAGCCATCTATGATGTATTAAACTTGAACATTTTCAGTTTTGTATTATCACAGCATTACATGCCAAGCAGACTGCTAAAGAGCTGGACTCATTTTGTGTACAAACTGTTTTTTAAATGCAACTGTTAATTTCTTTATCAACACAGGATGAAATCTGAATTGCATTTGAAGACAGAAAATGAAGCACTATGCCCAGTATTGCAATAACACTGCAGAGGCAATCAAAGCTTTCCATTGCAAAAAGTAGGAACTTTTAATGTGTTTATCAAACAGCGTTTCAAAAAAGAGGGAAACTGTACTAAAGATACTACAGTTCTGAGAGACCAATGTTCAATTTTACCTCAAGTTCATTAATTCAATTCCAAAATCCAAGTAGGAATGGAAGAACAGCCTTCATGCTCCACCTCTCCACTAAAGAAAAAATTGTTCCTTAGCTAACTATGGATTTGGAAGGAAATGTAGACATGTTGACATAAAACACTAAAGAAATTGCTTTCACAACCTATGGAAACTATAAGGGCTGTGTTTTCTACCCTTTGAAATTATCAGCATTTTTTTAAATAACTCTTTTTCTATGTGCATTAAATAGAGAAGCAAGAAAAGATGGGCCCTACTGTAGAGAAAAAAAAAGTTCTTGTAAAGCTTTAGAGCTGCCACAGTGTACAGTATTTACCTTGCACAAAGTATTTAAAAATATGAACTCAGCAAAAATAAAATATGTTACTCTAAAGCATATTGTTTTCTAATGTTTTTCTACTTAATATTTTTCTAATGTTTTCTAATGTTTTTCTACTTAATATTTTTCTATTGTTTTTTTAAATAATGTGATGTTTCAAAATAATAGATGAGCAGAGTCAGTAAAGTCTGTTTCTCTGCAAGCTCTTCAGCATCAAGGACTGGATTGGCTTCAACACCCCTCACATTTTACTAAAACGCTTTCCACTAAGATCTACCTTGCTTGGAAAAGAAAAAGGCAATAGAGGTATTGTAGTTCTCTGTAAAATTTTTATTGTTTCACTTACAAAAAAATTGACAAGCTTTGTTCCAACATCTTCCATTCAAAACTAAATAGAAGTAAATGCTTTACAATAAATGCAGTTTGACCTCTTCAATATACTGTGTTTATAGGGCCAGGTGTCTGGGGATGAGAGGCAAGGTAGATGTTGAAACAGTAATGGAGGTCTGTGAGCCACTGCTCCTGAACTTCACCACTCTTCAGTGTCTAAAAAAGAGAAAAAAGGTAAAACTCAAGTACTTGCAAAACTTGGCTTTGTTTTTACAGATAATCAGGTGCACTGTTAAAGGTACAAGATAGCCCTGTTCCCCTGCACACAGTGACACTGTTCTTCTCTTTTACACATTTCAACATGATGTGTCTGTTAAAGCCCAAATAATGAAGTGTTACAACTGGGTACACTAAGTCATTGCATTACCAAGTGTGTGAGTTAGCACCAGATGTGCTTTCCTTACTCTGAATTAGAATGGCTCACTTAACTTTGCAATTCTGCAATTTATAGAGAATCAAAATGCAAATGAGCATGGTGCTACCAGTGCAGGAGAGTGCCCCTGCCCAGTCTAAGAAAAACTGCTACCAACAGACCAGACCAGACCAGGAATTCCCTCTTCTCAGGATTATGTAGGTGGCTTAAAAAACCCAACAAATACAAATACAATCCACCTACAGCAGAACAGCACAACAACTGGTTGTGGCATTTTCAACACTAAAGAGAAACAATCCCCTCCTAACCTGCAGGTTAGAGAACACATTCACCATAATGCCTTACATCTGCTTTCACCACCACTGTTTGCAAACAGCTCTTCTTGACGGTTTGCAATGATTTTTAAAAACGAACACAACATACATGTGGTGCTGGGAAACAAGGAGGAGTTTCATACCATGATGTCCTTGATGATCTGCTGCACCAGAAACTCGTTAGTGATCATATGGCTCCTGAGCTGCCCGTGCTGCATGAGCAGGCGCAGCAACTGCGCAACAACGGGCAGCTCTTCCCGGCAGATCCTGCTCACTTGCAGGCTTTGCAGCATCAGCCTCAGCAGCCGTGGCAGGAGTGCTAATGCAGAGATGCATGATCTCCACAGCATGTCCCTGGGAGGGAAAGGTAATCAAAACTGAAATGACTGAGGACACACATTTCAAGGATGATTCTGTGAACTGGCTGATGGCTGTACAAGGAAAGCTGCTTCTGTGGATCCAATCACACCAGCTGCGTTCACCAGAATTAGTGGCAAAGCAGAAAATCTGTACCAGAAAATGCCAAACTTGAAAATAGTCCAGAATTTTGTACAGCACTGGATAAACATTAAAGCCCTGTCCTGGAAGCTGTAAGTGTTGCTTAATCTGTCATGCAGTGCAATTTCTGCCTTATGCAGCTGTGAAGAGGCTTTTGTTTCAGTCACTTTTCAGGTACACCTGAATCTTTGTTTAAGATTCATAAAGAAGTTAAATAATGGACTCAGCTATTTGTGATATGCAAATCATTAAATACAGTAAGAGAAGAAGGACTTGGGCTTTTAATTTTCAGGAAGCTTTTAACAACTTTTCTGTATATGGAAAAGTTTGACCTGTTTAAAGACACTCCTGCATTTCAGGTGAATTTATTTGAACTCGTTATCTGTAGCTTTTGGGTTTTTTAAATCAAATGGCTTTGCAGTCTATGTAATGATGCCTAAGAAGTTTTAAAACTGAAACATCTGATCAGTTAAGAGGACATATTCATAAAGCCAAATCCTTTACATGGTGCTTTTCAATGTATCTGATGAAGCTAAGGTTAAAGATTAAGGTATAAATATCCAACTTTACAAAATCAGGATGGTTTTGACATCCAAGTAGAACAATTGGAGATGAAACCTTCTTCAGTTACTGTTTTAAGTAATTCCTGGTAACTTTGCAGGTATTTTTCTTAAATCTAAGTACTGATTTGAAGTAAGCAAAGAGAGACGGGGAAAAAAACTCTGGGGGGAAGGGGGTGGTATCCTTTCATTTCACATCTAAATACTTATGGCTGCAAAGATAGAGACAAGGTGGTAAGAAGAGCAGCTTTACCTTTTCTGTAAATGTTCTGCATCCTCTCTGTCTATAGTTAGCAGAAAGTACAGAAGACTGTAACAACAAGAGGCCAAGAACCTGTGCAGGTTTTCACTTATGATGCAGGCTTGATCCAAGAGCTTATTTATGGCACATAGAACAGATCCAGCTGTGCTATCAGGTATTACAACCAATCCAACCTGTATTAAAACAAGACCAAAAAAAAAAAAAAATCAACAACCCAAATTCATCACTTTATACAGAAGATTTTTTGCTGGGATACAAACAAACTTAGAGCTTTCCTGTGGTGACACCTATTACTTTGTTTCTGTTCAAACTCTACAGACCACTGCCTTTTTTCAAATCCCTGCTTTCCCAATAAATTGACACCCATACCAACAGAAGGTTAAATTGACATCTTCATTCCATGCCTTCTAAACAAACATTCATCTCAAACATATTTGCAAAATACAGCACTGCTTTGAGCCTTGCTCTGAATGACAGTGCAGGCACAAACAATCTTCTGGGCAGAACAGGTCTTTCCTTTTAAGCATATATCATGGGACTGGGAAGGCTTTCTGAGTCTTGAAATGGCAGTGAGCAGTCACTGAGGTAGAAGGAAACTCTGATTTATGCTTCAGAAAGGAAAGCCTCTACTGGATTTTCACCAGGGTAAGTCTCCTCTGAAGCCCAACAGGAGCTTTGTGAACCAAGGTTAATCAAAGCTAATGAAATATATGGTGAGCCCAAAGTGGGGTGATGCTCTGCTGTTGTTAAAGAGAGAACATCATGTTCAGTAAGGATTTTATAGGCATGATAAATAATTTAGAAAAAAAATCTTGGTTTCTGTAGAGGCAGTGAATTAGAAAGCAGTTTAAATTTTGAAGTACAATGGAGTAAGTACCCTACATTTTTGTCTTGTAAAGCCATAAAAAAATCATGCACTGCCAGTGTGGCACCATTTACCTTTAAAGAACTATTTAAGGAATTTGAGAGTAGTCTAATTTGCTCACCTGCAAGTACACTGTTCTAAGCTGACTGAGTGAATTGGTTCACTTAACAAGGTCAGCTGTTTCTTTCAGAAATGTTTAGAAAAAAGATCAATAAAGTACAAGCTACAGAAATGTGAAATGTGTTTCATTCATACCATTACTTGTGAGAGGTAAGAGATACAGAACAACTATGAGTTGAAATTTTAAATCCTTCCAGCCTAAGACACTGGGTGTATTTCAAGGCCACAAGCACAGATTGCTGTCCCAGGCTGACCTGTGCCAGTCAGGTGGAGAGGCAGGAGGAGGATGATGGTCTTTTGCCTGACAAAAGGTGGGACTGCAGCTGTCAGCACGACCCTGCTGAATACTACAGGACACTGAGGCAGCAAACAATTAAAATGAGTAACATTCTTCCTGATCAACTGTAAGTAAGAAATAATGGCAGCGATCTAGATGGATAAAGAGAACCATCCTGAAGACAGCTGAGCCAACACTACTGATGGAATGTGCTGGTCGGCCAGTCTGAAAGATGACAGGAACAGAGACATTTCAATTTATGCAAATCCAGTGGATGAGGCTGCTCAGATAAGTTCTCATATAGGATGTTGCCTCTGTGGTGCCTTTGCTCCCTGAGAGGTGTCAGCAGCCAGTTGGAGACTTGGGCAGCCATAAAACCCCATTTAATGGTTTGCTCTCAAAGGGACAGGGCAGTAGAACATATACCCTTTTTAAAAGCTGGTTAAAGTCAGCATCCACCCCTAAAAATCCAGACTATGGTTATAGGTAAGCTACTCCCTACAGAAGCTTTGGTCTAGTAACTTCTCAGTATGGCTCCAAGCAGAGAATGGCAGACACTGGGTAGATCACAGAACCACCCTGACAGCAGGGCAGGAGCAGACCTTGTGATCCCCCCTCTCATCAGGCAGCATCACAGGGAACTGCAGATTCTGTCCCTGACCGTTCTGTTACCCAGCTCTGGCTTTGCCATCCTCATCTTCAGCTCAGGCATGTTCAGGATTAGAAGACAGGCTGTAAAACCCACAGATTGGGTCAGTTGGGACCACAGTGGTCATCTGACCCAATCTCAAAGCACACAGCACAGGATTGTGTCCATACAGTTCCTGAGTATCTCCAGTGAGGGAGACTCCACATCATCTGTGGGCCATCTGTTCAGGGCACAGTCAACCACACAGTAAAGTTCTTCCTCATGTTCAAGAGGAGCTTCCTGAGCATCAGTTTCTGCCTGTTGCCTCTTGTCCTATTGCCCAGCACCACAAAGAACATGGCTTCCATCACCTTGGCATTTTTTAGATACTTACATACATAGATGAAGTAAAAAACCTCATCTAAAGCTGCTGGTTGCTCTTTTGAAAAGCAAACCAAACCAAGAAGTGTTTTATTTATGGACAAACTGCCTTGAAGACAAACTCAAGTATTCACAAATCTGAGCAAAATGACCCATATAAGTTTAGATACCAACAGTTATTATGTACTTTTTAAACGCCCCCGAATCTTGTTTAAAGCTTTTTCAAGTACTGAAATTATACATTAAATACACAGGATAAGTGGATTTGAGGATTAATGAGACTGCTAGCAAATTTCACAAGGAAGTTTTAACATAGAAGACAAAATGGTACTTACCAGATATTTACAGATGCCAGTCTGGAGAATGTCAAAACACTGACTTTGTGAAGGTATAGTGGACAAGCTGTGACAGATCACCTGTTTTAATAAAACAAAGTTATATTTAAGCACTCCAAATGCAACCAGCAATCACTCACTGTGCAGTCATACTTTGCTGACAGACCTAAATCCAAAGAATCTACAGGGACACGCAGCAGCTTTGTCTCAAAGTACTGATTCTTTCCAGTGGAGAAGAGTAGCATTGTCAACATAAATTGTTCTGTGCTTAAAGAGATGATGGTCTTTCCCAAAAAACCATTAGGTTTTTTGGGAAAGGCTCTCTGCATTCTATCTGTGTGATAGAAGGCCAAAAATGTTCTATCAAGCTAGACTGCCACACCAAGCCTCCAAATGCCTTTCCTCGGAGCTGAAGAATTTCAGAAAACAACCTCCCAAATAACTGTATCAAGCATGAAACAGAGGGGTCACAGTGAAACAGTAAAGTAATACAAGAAAGAAAACTGTAGCAAAGATCCATTTTCAACATATTTTCCTCTTCAGTGCCAAAAATGTCACTGTAAAAAATGATACAAAATGGAAAATCTTGTTTTATAAACTACATACAACTTTCTGGTGCTTGTATAAGCAGGCACTAGCAAACTACCATGAAATGTTCTGTCTCCTGAATAGGGTAAAGAAACCAGAGCTCCAGTAGAACTGCTGGTAAGCTGTACTGCAATCCTCAGAAGATGGCTTTCTCTGTTCCTCTTTTGCTTCCCCTCTATTCCAATGATTCACAAACTAGTTGGAGAGCTTGGATGCCCTCTCTGTGTTCACATTCACTGCTTATCCCACCCGAGTGGCAACTAAAGCCTCTGGAGAAGCCACCATGCACTGCAGAAGTGCATTATCAGACCATGAGCAATTGTGATGTCCTGCTAAGGATGAGGAAGATGGAAGAACCAATAGGTGAGGAATGGAATCTTCCCTTTGTGCTTAAGGGAATCAGAGAACAGCAAGATCAGATGTTTGGAGGATGAGAGAATTCAAGTTCGTGAGGTTTTACAAATATTTTAACTAAGCAAAACGCATTTCTCTAAGATGCCTCATGACTCAAAATCTAAAGAGAACTTGCACAGGAGGATCTGACCTGAGGAATTAAATTCTGTGATAGTGTTTTGGTTTTGAGACTTTACTTGAATCAGGCAGGTCAAGACACCCAAACGAGATAATGACAAAAGAGAACATATCAACTGTGTTGTGTTAAAAATAATAGTCCACAACATTTGCAGCTGGAGGATGGGAAAGGTTAGGGAAAGAACCATTAGCCCAAGATCCTGTGGTATGAAAACTCAGCCTTAACTAATGTGGATGCCAGTGGCAGTTTAATCAGAAATGGCAAAGAGGCACCATTTGTGGTGATACAGAAGCGCACTCAGCTTTTTCCAAAATTACATGCCAACCTGTTTTTAGCCCTGCTTATGCCAGCCAAATTCAGGAGATCCTTAACACGTCTGCCTAGTAGCACATAACATTGTTGGGCTGTCAGGACATTGCTCATGTTAATCAGTATCACAGGTGTAGTGCAAGTGTTTTGTTTGAGTAGCAGGACTGTTTAAAAGACAATTTCATAGATACTCTTGCACTGAATACATTTACTGTACATTTATTTTATAATGAAACAATATTATTAAAACTGAGTACACTATCCTAAATATAGTAGGGCTTTTGTCCACTGTGATTTGAAAGTGATAAAATATTAAGTACTCTGGAATATTCCCAAGAAATCCCCTCAAAACATCTGTGTTATTAGTAGTGTCAAGGAATAAAGTGAAGCTGCAACAGAGGTTATTACTGGGGACTGTCATGTCAAGGACAAATTGTGACACCAATCTGACCTGGTATTTTAATGAGCAGCACTTACACAAAAGGTAAAGCTGCACTGATGAAATCTGTTGGGTGACAGCTCCAAGCTGAGAAACCCTGCCAAGGCAGGAGGACTGGACTAACCTATGGAAAAGATCACACAGGTTTGATGAGTAACAGCTACAGAAAAAATTCAGTGAAAAAAAGTGGTGGGTCACATGCCTGGAGACTGATAAAAACTTCTGTATGCAGCTATGAATTTTACCAGTTGGAAATGAGGAGGAAATTCTGCAACAGCTGACCACAAGTGGTTTTGATACAACCACAAAATGGTCAGATGTTACTTCAGGATGTAAAAATAAAGATAATCCAAACAGAAGTGCCCAGATAGAATAAGGATCATCTCTCCAATACTACTCTGTAAGATCTTAGAATTAGACCATTTCTGACATACTGTGCAAAGTAGGAGCCACACATTTTCAGGAAAGGCAAATTCAAACCAAAACAGACAGAAAAATTGCACCAAGAGAGATCCTGTCTTACCACTGTCATGGCAAAGAACTGAACCTGCCTGGGCTGGCAAAGTGACACCCAAGAAGGGATCTTACTGTCACTTACAGAGTGGTGAAAAACGCTGCACCAAAACTAATGTAACCAAACAACAACTAAACATAACAATGATCATGGCTGGCTGGCAACACAGATGAAATGGAAATTGGGAAGGATGATTATGAAAGGAGAAAACGCAGGAAACATTTGTTGCTCATAGGGCAGAGCTTGGGCACTTCACAAAGGGGTTTGCCATGTGCTTGTGAGCACATCACACCAGACACAGTCTGCCAGAGAGATCCCTTTTGATTCAGTACAGACCCACAAATTAAAGACCTTGAGGGCAAATCCACCAGGCCCACCCAACAAAATACAGTTTCATTATTAATATTTCACCCTTAGGACTATGTCCCTGGAAAAAGCCCACCATTCACTGAGGCTCTCCCTGAGAGGACAAGTTGTAGGAGCATTTCATTACAGGTACAATATGCCCTCATGGCATAGATTCTTCCCCAACTGACAAGGAAAACAGGCACTACTGGACAGCAGCATAATTCCTTAGAAAGGCCGTGGTAAAGTGCAGGTTGATTTTTTCAATCTATTAGATCTTTTGGACCCTCAAAACAGCACCACCATTCCCTACATCACTTCTGTTTTCCTACAATTAAGTGGGAGAGGCAATTCTTTTCAATTCCATAAATTAAATCCTGCTTGAAATGGCTTTCATACCAAATGCCTGTTATAAAAAGTGTAACTGAAACGTTTTTAGACATGGAAATGAAAGGAAAAGAAAATTTAATTATCACATGAAAATTAGTATTTTCCCTGACAATTTATTTTCCTTAGGCAAGGTTTTGCATGATTTTTAATTTCCATAATAAAATGTCACAGCTGATTCATTACATTACATTTGATTAACATTTATCACATTTTTGGCACATTCATAGATTGATTTTGGACCAAAGCCAGAGTAGTTTTGTTTCAGAGCAATCCTGAAGTGAATGGACTGAGAACAGGCATTTTTGATCAGCGAGGGGTGGGTTTTTTCTTTTTGAGGCAAGTATTTTATAACAGGTTTGGCTTTGGCTTAGACATTTTATTGGGGTGGTTTTTTTCTTTTCGATTTTGTTTGAATATTCACTTGAATAAATTAATCTAAAGAAAAGAATTCTCTTAAACACAGGGATTATCTGTTATCATTATGCAGCAAATGCTACAGGCCCCGTAATCCACTGGCAGATTTTCAAACCAAACCCTATTGATCAGACAAGCCCAAGTGTCACGAGCCACACAGCTGCAGCAGCAGGTTCCCTACTGGTGCTTGGGGAAGTGATTGCTACAGGGGCCTCCTTGCCTGCCACACTGAAGACAAACTCCAACAGCAACCAACCACAAAAACAACAACAAAAAACCACCACTAAACAAAACAAACAGCTCCAAACAAATCAAACAAACAAAAAAGGCTGAAAAGGCCCCTCAGAAGCACAGCCTCACCCAGGTTTTTTGGAGATCCTGACACCATAGAGTATTTTATTTCAACTGGATGAGTTAAAAGCATTTTTGCCACTGACAGCCCCCCTGACTGACAATGCAATCCCACACAGGCTTTTCACAGCTCTAATGCAGAATCAGAGGAATTCATCAGTTGCATGTTGTTCATCTCTAAGATGCTCTTGCCTCCAGAAGACAGAGTTGGGATGAGCCAAGGAAGCCCAGGCTCAGTGTGAGCCCTCATGGAACAGGAACAAGCACACCTGATGAACCGACACTAATGTTTTGTTCATTATTGAACAGCTCCAACTCCCTCAATGCTTCCTGTGACACAACAGAATCCTGATTCAAAGTCTCAAGGAAACAACTAATAATCAGTAACTGTCCAGAGAAATTTTTTGTATTATTTCAAGTTTAGTCATGCTACAAAGTACTCTTTTTTCAAAGAAAAATACTCACCTTCCTCTGAAGACACACACAAGCAGGAGCACAGAGAGGAACCCAAGCAAGAAGGAATGATAATGGATGGAGTATTCTAGCATGCCACTGTGTGGAGTCAAACCAAAGGCAGTTCAGACTCCCTGAGAAATGATTTTTTTAAAAAAAGAAAGTTGGCACACAGCAGATACTATAACCTAAGGTGAACTTTAAAATATATCTTTCAACTCCCATTGACATGGACCTCAGACATGGATAACTAAAATGTAACAGACTGTTCTGCAGTGAATTCCCCAGCCCTTGTGAAATGCCTGTTTGGAGCAGGACTGTATCCAGTGTAACATGTTAGTGCAGAGCGTAGAAAACGAGAAGTTTTCAGGTGATGGGGCAGGCAATGAAGCTTGGCTTCTGAAGCTTGGCCAGCTCCCCCGAAGCACTCTCACTTATCAGACACTGTACTCCCCTGACAGGTGCTGCTTCTCTTTCTGAAATAAATTGATTTGACAGGGCAATATTAACAGTGCCCTGAGTTGTTGAGAAAGCTGCGTACAACAAGAGATCTTTGTTCATCTGCCTTGGATAAGCTCACAGGAGTGGATATGAAAAATATTCCTGATTCACTGACTCCAGAAAAAAAAACCTAACAAAATCCCATAAAAACCTCCACATGAAAACCCTACACACTCACAATAAAACAAAACAAAACCTAAGTTAAAAAAAGAAACAGCCAAAAAGAGGAACAGAGTCTGCAGGAG